TTCAGATCTCCTCAGGCAAAGGGATACAAGCAACTTCTGAAAAGAAAACTTGAGGACACATGGGTGTCATGCGAAGAGAACCTAAAATCAAGAATGGACATGACATAAACCCAAGCAGAAACCTACGCAGTAAAATAATCATGAAAGTCTGTCATCATTACCGACAAATCAAGTCATTTAAACATCTTTGATAATCATACTATTGAGTTGACCAATGGCCATGATAAAGACCACAAGATGAAATCGATTTCGTACACTGCCGACAAGTACTTCACCCTTCAAGTACAGCAAGCGTTTTAATGAAACCGTTATATTCATAATGGACAACGAAGTTACAGATTCCAGTTAACTAAGTTGATTTTGTTTAAAAACCAACGAAAGTTTATGAACTATTAATAAATATTACCTATCTAGCGTGAACTGTACAGTGTGTAAACTGTTTCCGTCAGTGGTATCATCTCAAAAAGAGTCATGGAAGGACTTCTTCGAGATCCCGAATTGAAACTCACTCGGACGATTGAAATCTGTCAAGCGGATGAATTATCTTTACAACAATTAAAACTGTTTAATAACGACAAAGAAATAGATTCTATACACAGGCCTCGTCATCCACGACGAGAAAACATCTCCATAAGACAGCACGTTGATAAAAGGCAAAAGGAAAGTCGTGATGAAAATAGCATAGAAAATAAATGCATGCATTGTGGAAACAAACATCCTAAACAAAAATGTCCAGCATTTGGTCGGCAATGTAATAAATGAAAGAAATTCAATCATTACGCCAAGATGTGTCGCTCAAGTGGAAAATTAAACTCAATTGAGACAAAGGGATCTAATAATGGATCTAATCAAAAAGAAGTAATCGACCACTTCCTATTCCTCATACAATACAAGCTGACATAAACGAAAAAAGAATCAATCCCAATCAAGCGGAATATGCAGCACTGTGCGTGACAATACTGAAATCAAGTTAAAAATAGATACTGGGCAGAAGTGAACGTCATCCCAGTTAAAACATATAAATCGTTAGCAAGCACTACATAAATACCGTTAAAAAAGCCAGCAGTTAATCTCATCGCATACAACGGCAAGACTGTTCCCGTTGAAGCAGTATGTACTCTGCATTGCAAATGCCGAGAAGAAGAGTATGATTTGGATTTCTATACATCAGATACACCCAGTGAATCTATACTTAGTATAGTAATCTGCAAAGAATTAAACCTCGTCAAGTTTACTCAAGGACTGAAATCACAAGTATCCGATAAGAGCGCGTCAAAGTCAACACAACATGCTTCTAAAGATGAATATTCAGAACAAATTAAAACCAAATATGAAGACGTATTTACAGGTCTTGGCTGTCTTTCAAAACTCCATCACATGGAATTGGACCCTTATGTACAGCCATTCATACATCCGCCACGAAAAGTTTCACATCCTCTGCGAGAACATCTAGCAAACACCCTCGAAGATACGGTGAAGCAAGGAATTTTGGTAAAAGTTGATGAGCCGTTGGATTGGGTCAATTCAATGGTTACTGTCAAAAAAAAGAGGAAAGTTTACGCATCTGTATTGATCCTGAAACCTCAATAAAGCTTTGATAAGAAAATATTGTCAGCTTTCGACAATTGAAGAAATCACTGCTCGAATGCCAGGTGCATGTTTCTTCTCGACGTTAGATGCAAGATCGGGCTATTGGCAAATACCTCTGGACGAAGAAAATCTCCAAACTCACGACTTTCAATACATCGTTTGTACGTTTTAGATTTATCCGAATGCCGTTTGGTATCCGAAGTGCGCAAGAAGTGTTTAACAAAAGAATACATGAAATCTTTAAAGATATAGCTAGAGTGGAAACAGACATCGATGACATTCTTGTTTGGGGTAGAGCACTTCAAGAACAAGATGAGCGTCTCAAGGCAACGCTGGGTCGAGTTAGAGAGTGCAATCTAAAGTTTAAGCTAGAAAAATGTCACTTTAGAAAAAAGAGTATGGTGTATATTAGACATCAGCTCACACACAAAGGCGTCAAACCAGATCCAAAGAAACTAGAAGCAATTCTAAACATGCCACAGCCCGAAGACAAGAAGCGAATTCTAAGGCTTCTTGGTATGGTCAATTATGTTGTATAATTCGTACCAAATTTATCGGAAATCACTTCACCTTTACGACAAATACTTAAAAAAAGACATAGCGTGGCACTGGACCGAGAGACATTCTCATGTTTTGAAGAGACAAAGACCTTACTCTCAAGTCCACAGCCTGGCAACTTAGCATATTGTGTTTAAATGAAATCAGTTTATCTTCAAGTAGACGCCTCGAAATCGGGACTAGGAGCAGTACTTGTTCAAGCAAATAGACCAGTAGCATACGCTTCAAGACCTTTGACACAAGCAAAAACAAGATATGCACAGATAGAAAAAGAATTGCTAGTGGTTGTGTTTGAGTGTAATCTCTTCTATCAGTGCATTTATAACAAGCATGTCATAGTAGAATCGGATCATCAGCCACTGAAAACCATCAGCAAGAAATTGTTGGATAAATCATCACTTCGCTTGCAAAGAATGCTACTGAATTTACAGCGGTTTGATATTGAGGTAAAATATAAACCGGGAACTGAACTATACATAGCAGATACGTTGTCTAGAGCCCATTTGTCAAATGTAAAATCAGAGGAAGAAACACTTGATTTGGGTTATCAAGCGATTGCTATGATCTCAATGCTACCATTGTCTGACGGCAAACGAAGAGATATCACTGAAGAAACTAAGAAGGACGATATGATGAAAGAGCCAGTGAAAGTGATTACGGAAGGTTGGCCGAATAATAAGAAAAATTTTTCAAGCTTCTTAAAACCATTATGGAGCTACAGAGAAGAACTGACAGTAATTTAAGGGGTGGTGTTCAAAGGAGAAAAGATGTTCATTCTACCCTCACTGCGAGGAAGTGTTTTAAATAAAATTCATCAAAGCCAAATGGGCATTGAAAAAGTAAACAGCGTGCTCGCGAGCTTGCATACTGGCCAGGTATAAATAAAGATATTCAGACAGTTGTTGAAAATTGCTCATTTTGGGCTGAAAATAGATGCAGCAATTGAAAAAGCCTATGTTTCCGCATACAATACTTAAATACTCATGGCAGATTGTTGCAACAGACATTTTCTATTGGAATAATAATGATTACCTTCTGGTTGTGGACTATTATAGTAGATTTTGTGAGATATTAAAAACTACCAACACAAAGAGTCCTGCAAAAATAGATAAAATGAAAACACTCTTCGCACGACATGGAATTCCAAAAAACGTTAAATCCGACAATGGTCTACAATACTCTTCAAGAGAGTTTGCTGAATTTACCATAAAGTGGGTGTTCGAACACATAACGTCTAGCCCAGGTTATCCAAAATCGTATGGTATAACGGAGAAAACGTTACAAATGGCAATGTCCACTCGAACGAAAGCTGGAAGAGATCATCGAGATTTAAATTTAGCCATATTAGAGCAAAGAAATACACCAATTGATGACATTGGATCACCAGCACAATTGAGCATGGGAAGAAGACTTCGATAAAATATGCCATCCTCGACAAAACAACTTATTCCAAAAATAGTGAATCATGTGATCATTCAAATAAAATTGGAAAACAAGCAAAAAAAAAACAGAAAGAATATTACGACAGATCGTCGAAATCCCTCGAAAACCTGAGTGAAGGTGAAAATATTTATGTTCAAAGAGAAGGGATATGAAAACCAGCCGTTGTCATAATCAAAGCGGACACCTCAAGAAGTTATAATGTGAAAACATCCGGGGGGGTGCAGAATATCGATGAAATAGAAGACAACTGAAGAAAACTAACGATCAAAATTTGCAGTCTCCCCTTCGTTTTCAATGAAAGAAAAATGAAGCAGACACAAAAGAACAAACCCAACTTAAAGAAACAAGAGTAAAAGACGGGCAATCAATATGTTCAGCTGGAACGACTTTATCACCAATGAAGACAAGATCAGGATGTATCGTAAGTAAGCCAATACAATGAAAAGATTATGTTTAACCTTTAATATAGACATTTATAAAATCAGAACATTAGTTACATTACATGAGAATAGTTAGTTAATCGTTTATTTAAACTAGAAAGAAATTAATAGAAAAATCAGACTGAAAAATACAAGGATAGTAGTTTTAAAAAAGATGGTTGTAATATATGGATATAAAACATAATTATTGTACATTTATGCTAATTTTTATCAATATAAGAAACCCGTACTCGTGTACATAAGTAGTAGCCTGACTGACAGAGTCAGAGACGTATCAAGAAAAATAAAGAATATTACACAGTCCAAAATGCGTAATTTAATAGTCAAATGTAAAATGTTCTTGAAAAAAAGCAAAACGAAAAAAAAACTAAACAAAAACTATTTACGAATGTGAGTAAAAGGAGAAACTCACAGAAAAGAGTTTAATTATGCAGACGATACAAAATTTAAATTGATTTATTTTTACTGACAAAAACTAGAAAAGTGAAATCCAACCCTTACAAAACAGCAAGGACCAGAAAGAAAGCAAGCTTTTTTTCAGGTAAAGTAATGCCGCATATAATAAACATTATAATAACCTCGCTTTTACGATCTTTATTTTACTACGGGCTTGGTTTGTGCAAAACGACCTTATTAAGGCTTAATATACACGAAAAAATTTCTTAATTCTGGCTGGCTCGTATATTACAATTCCATTAGATACTACTTTTCGGAAAACCATAGTTTTCACACACGCAGCTAGAACAAGGTAACTACTATAGGCAGTATTCATATTTTTTCCAAACACGCCTTGAAAACGATGAATTGTAAGCTCATTCACCAAAGAAAATTTACTTAAGCTTGCGCCAGCCATTGCATTTGCTTTGTTTACTTTAATTTAACTTTCACGCCTTTGAAATGTTTTATTTTGATTGGCTCTTAGATCATTTCTTTGTTTGATTAACCAATCAGGAGCAATTTTTTTTAAAAAAATTGCATTTTATTTCCTTTTTTATGCACCGTGTTTCTTATTTTTCCCCACTGGTATTTACAATAAATTGCACTGCTTTTAATTAGCCAATGAGAACTGAGAATTTTTTCATGTATATTATTAAACCGTAAATCAATATAACGAATCCAATGTTGGCTTCTGAGTTTTACATGAAAATGGCGATTATAAAAAATTGACAAATGACCTTTGAATTTCAGTTTAAAATTAATTAGCAACATTTGCACCTTTATGAAGAACGTCGTCAGCCAAATGATTTTTCTCGATCATGCGAAGAGCAGCGGCAAGTTCTTCGTACCACAACTGCTTATTTTCTCGTGATTCAAACCAAAACTTTAGCATTTCAAACCCTTGCCAGCTCACGTCACGATGATTTAGTTCAATTTCTTTTATTATCGCATCTCCAACAGTCAGAAATATTGCCAAATTCTTCCATTTATCAGGAATTTCTTCGGCAAACTTTAGCAGAATTTTGTTAATTTCTGCAAAAAAACACGTACATTTAAATGCAAGTTAATAGCATTTTTTACTTTGGAAGAAAATGTTGGACATACTACATCAACTATTTAGATATACATAGCTTCATCCATCTTAAAATACATCAAAGGTATGTCATGTTGATTTCAGTACAACTATGGATAACAATATAATAGTGCTTTTTGTAGTAATGGGTCAAAATGCTAACATTAAATTTGTGTGACTACATTGGAAGTTTTATCAAATTGCGTTTGTTACAATAAAATTGACACGTAATTTTTGCATCATTTAAACTTTATAACTATGTAGCTATAAATTATCAGCCAACACTGATGATTGTCTAACATAAAATTTGAAATAAAGCCATTTTTTAACGAATTTATTTATTATTTGTAACGTATCGTCTTTACACAAGACATCATCAGACAGGTAATTAAAATTATTAAGTGTGCGTTTATATTTATATATTAGAAGTGTAGTTATGAGTGTTAAATTACAGAGAGGTTTGATGAACATGATTTATATGTACATAAAAGTATTATAAAAAGTATGAGTGAAGATACTGATAGGGAGTGTGAAATGGACGCAAAGCGTAGTGGGATATTTAGAAAAGTTTGGGTGGGATGGAACTGCCTTTGAGAACAGGAGGCATTCATGGATCATTAAATCAAGAGTGTAAGGTGAGGATGAGATGATAGTGATGTTGTCAAAGGAAGGTCTGTGAACTGATATGTTATTGTGAGATAGGAGCTGGATTTAGTAGAGCATGATGACTTTTTACTATTACTTATTTAATGCTTTGCATTCCATACTCTTTGACAAGCACTCAGTTGATTTATTTAAAAAATTCCTTTTGCACAAAGCCAGTAAGCTTTTTTTCTTTGCTCAGTTGAGTGAAACATTTGAATAGTAATATTTTAACTCATAATTCTTGTATTTTTGATATTTGTTGAAATTTGCTACATTTTTCAAGACACGAAAAAAATTGTGCTGTTGCGACGCTTCGAAAATAGTAAAATTTACAAACACTGTAGTTTTTCTTACACTATGTATCTCTTTGAAATTTAAGATAAACGGTTTAGTTTTCTGAGGACTAGTATTTTCGTCAGAGGATAGTTGTTGACTTAAAGGTTTGCACAGGGTAATTTGGGACATCCTTGGATGAACACCTCTTAAAGCTTGTACCTTTTTCTTCAAAGCTCTGCCATGTGGCACTGCTTCGAAGGCTGCTATGTTGTTTGTTACTGAGGTACGATTTAAAATTGAAATACCGATATTTATGATTTCTGATCTGTAATTACTTGGCTAAATTGTTTCAAGCGTAAATGTTGTCAGGCCAGTGTTTATTGTCTTAAGATAAAAAATATGCACGGAAGTGTTTTGCTCCAAAGCTTTATGCTATGTCTTTATGTTGTCTTTTAATTTTTTATATGTTTAATACTGTGCGTTAACAAAAAATTGCAGCATAAAGAATGTAACGCAGACATGTTCTAAGATTTGAATCTCACTTTATGTGGGAAACTATTTGGTTTCAGCAAAGAGTTTTTGATGGGATAGGTTATCTATGTAGTCAAAATGATTATTTTCAAATTTGATTTAAAATAGTTGTGATATTAAAATTGTCAATAAAGAATACAATTTAATTAATTTTCGTTTTCTTCTTCAATATTTTCCCCTATAGAACTCTATCTTTTTTGGGGAAAGAATAAGGAAAAGTGAGACACCTGGATGTGCTTTACGTTTGAGGTTTGTGTATAAAATTCGTTATAATCAATGCTGGTATTTTAAAGTATCTTAGTATCACAAAAGTAACATGTGTTATTTGAAATAATACAATCTGAAAATAACACCAAATTTGTAATGTTTCGCGTTATCTGTGATTGCAAAATGTTCTAACCGCTTAGTTTCTTAACAATGAACATTCTTTATAAACAAAATCCAAAGGATATTTTAAGAATTTATGGAATCAATTTCATCTGGACTCCAAGTACGTTCATTATTTCCTCTCTTTTTGACTATTCATGTAATAAAGCTCCAAAGTTTGTATATTTACGTTCTAATATAATAGCATACCTTCTTTTTTCTCCGTGTGAACGTGTAAATTTGAAGGCTCTTTACCATCAGCAGCATCATCAGACTTTATTTCTTTGAAAAAGGTATAAAAGTAGAGCAAGTGAACCATAGCACAAAATAGAAAGGTGCTTTTTATAATAAATATGTTCCTAGGGAAATGCTGAGTTAAGTGGAGTTTATAAAATTTACTGGATTAAATAAAAAAAAACCCAAGAATCAATTCTTCAAGTAAATTATTAGAATTTAGCTACACATTCTTACCAAGGATAAAGATATATATCAATCTTGGTTTTTAAAGTAATGAAAAAATTTTTTAAAATGGAAGTATTGTAAATTTGGCATTTTTCATAAAATATTCAAAATGAAAAACAGGAAATATGTAAAACTTATTTATGTCATAATTTTTACTTATTTTTTTTAATTGTTCTAATTTTTACAAACAAAATTTAAAAGCAATTAGTAAAACACGTTATATATAGAAATAACAAAATATATTTGTAATAAAAATAACTTGCCCCAGCCTTGTAGCTATAATAAGGAGCAAGAAAAATTTCAAATAGAGTACTTGAGATTTTTTTAAAGCATACGTTTGTATTAAGTAAAAAGCAGATATATCAAAAAAGAAAAATAGTTGAACCAGGGCAAAGTGAAACAAATTGTATTTTAGCATATCAATTTAAAAAGACTTAAGAGGAAAAGGCTCTCAGTAGTTTCTAGCCCTAAACTACAAACCAAATATTAAAGCATAAGATGGAAAGAAAACATTTTTTTGTTTTCTTTCCATCTTATGAAAACATCAACAGAAAATATATTACCAAAAACAAATCTTGATTGCATGTGTCGTTGTTTCTTAGTTGTTTAGTTTTAATTGTATGTTAAAAGAGATTTAAAATATTTTTGCTCCTAAAAATATATTGAAGTGCATTACATTGTTCTAAGTTTGCATCAAACTTTAGGAAAAAAATCTTTTTTATCCATTTTAAGATAGCTCTACCAATGGACTATATATAAGAGAACTTAACTAGATAAATGCACAGGATGGTTGAACGGCCTAAAATAAGATCATTACTCCAAATGAATCCCAATTTCACCAGAAACATCTTTAACTAATTTTGTAAATATTCCTAAATTTGTTTTTTCAGTTCATATCTAGCCAAACATAATACAAGAAGAATTCATAATTTGTAAACATAAAAGAGTAAAACTATTTTGTCTGAAATTTCAAAAACCTCAAAAGTTACACTTAAAACGCTTATATATGCTCTAATATACAAAAATAGAGAATAACATACCAAAACTGCTCAAAGAATCAGTAGCAACAACATGATCCAAAGCAACGGATTTATATTTAATTGCCTGCGCTTTTTCATAAAATTCTTTTGCTTTCTCATATTCTTTAATAAAATAGTACACATTGCTAAGATCGTTTAAAGTCGTAGCTACATCAACATGTTCTGGACCAAGTGATTTTTGTCGAATTTCCAACGCTTTTTCATAACATTCTTTGGCTTTGTCAAATTCTTTAGTACGACGATACACATTGCCAAGATCGTTTAAACTCATAGCTACATCAACATGTTCAGGACCAAGTGATTTTTTTCGAATTTCCAACGCTTTTTCATAACACACTTTGGCTTTGGCATATTTTTTGGTCTCATAGTACACTTCACCAAGATTTTCTAAAGTCATAGCTCCGTCAATATGTTCAGGACCCAGTGATTTTTGTCCAATTTCAATCGCTTTTTCATAACACTCTTTGGCTTTGGCAAAATGGTTGGTCTTATAATACACATTACCAAGATCGTGTAAAGTCGAAGCTACGTCAACATGTTTAGGACCAAGTGATTTTTGACGAATTTCCAACGCTTTTTCATAACACTCTTTGGACTTGTCATATTCTTTAGTACGACGATACACATTGCCAAGATCGTTTAAAATCATGGCTACATCAACATGTTTAGGACCAGGTGATTTTTGACAAATTTCCAACACTTTTTCATAACACTCTTTGGCTTTGGCATATTTTGTGGTCTCATAATACATATTACCAAGATCGCTTAAAGTCCAAGCTACATAAAAATGTTCAGGACCAAAAGATTTTTGTCGAATTTCCAAGGCTTTTTCATGAAATTCTCTTGCTTTGTCATAATCTGTAGTACAACTATACATATTACCAAGGTTGTTTAAAGTCGTAGCTACATCAACATGTTGAGGACCTAATGATTTTCTTTTAATTTCCAACGCTTTTTCATAACATTCTTTGGCTTTGGCATATTTGCTGGTATCATAATGCACATTACCAAGAATGTTTAAAGTCGTAGCCACGTCAATATGTTCAGGACCTAGTGATTTTTGTCGAATTTCCAGCGCTTTTTCATAACACTCATTGGCTTTAGCATATTTGTTGATCACATAATGCACATTACCAAGATTGTTTAAAGTCGTAGCTACATCAACATGATCAGGACCAAGTGATTTTTTTCGAATTTCCAACGCTTTTTCATAACACTCTTTGGCTTTGTTAAAATTGTTGCTCTCATAATAGACATTACCAAGATTGTTAAACGTTGTAGCTACATCAACATGTTCATCACCCAGTAAAGTTTTTTGAATTTCGAGACATTTCTTAAAACATTTCTTAGCTTTTTCGTATTTTCCGATTTTGTAATACTCCATGCCATGTTTGTTTGATGTCTTAGCTTCATTTTGCTGTTGTGATTTTTTCTTGAATTTAAAATAATTGAATATGAAATTCATTATCTTTCTGACATTTCCACCGCTAGAAAAAATATTATCAAAGTTCATGTAATTTTCATTATAACAAATAGGCATTATGGGTTTACTTCGTTTTCATTTATTTCATTTTAATGTTTAATGTTTACCGTCTATTCACAGCCTTGACATTTCTGAAACAATTTTAAAGCCAAAAAACAGTTAACCCTCTGATCTGATAATAGACTGGTTATATAGTTTCTGTAGGTATAAAAAAAGTCAAACCCGATGATACATGCGCCGATACGACAAATTAGATTCTTGCACGGACAGTTTTTAAATGGAGACAAACGCCAACATTTCATGGCCATAAGAAACATTTGATGTCAAATTGAATTGAATAACTTGTTCTACCCATGACGTATATTTTTTATTATTAAAAAAGTCGTGGAAGTAAAATATTCAAAAATCTACGTTGGGAAACGCTCTCTGCCAACATTCCTATTTGCTCCTTGAATCTTGTACGGTTGGAAAAGAAAATAATAATCTGGTGTAACTTTGTTTATTCCCACTTTGCTATTTTGACGCAATTAGCTCAGATGTTTTATGTGTTAATTATACACTTTTAAGTAGTTATTAATGAGATGTTCTAGCGTCAATAGTGAGCTTTAGTAAGTGTGTACTAATACATATTGCGACTTAATTCAAGTACGACTTCGAAGATTGACCGTTTACTGGATTTGCTCCAGAACGTTTGTTGTCGTTGTTGCTTCGGCAAATCTTGATTTCAGTTATAAAATAAGACCGAGGTTTTTCTCCGAAAACCCCAAGTTTTGTGAAGCATTTAGCTCTAGCTACGGCTTTATTTGTTAATATGTAATAATGATTTTGCAAGAATACAGGACTCTTTATAGACGGAAAAATCTTTACTCATTTACATTTTATGTTTCATATATTTGTAGTATTTTGCTGCTTGTTTACACTTCCATTTGCATTTGAGATGCATTGAAGTAAACAATGTTTCTTTCATGAAGCTGTTCTATCAAGGCATTTCTGAGTTGCAGAAATATCACAAAATAAATTTTTTATATTGCTAAATAAATATTTACACTAGCTACATGGACAAAGTTCGACTTTACTGATTTAAACGTTGACAAATAATGATGGTGCTCGATATTGTTCATGGTTAACAAGGAGATGAAGAAATTAATAAAAACTATTTTAATTGTGAATTCTATTGTTGAATTGGTTCAGTGAACCTGTGTATGAATTTGCTTTGCAAATAAGAAATGATTAATTTATTAACGTATTTGTAAAAGTAGAAAAGGTTTGAAAAACGAGTTTGGTGATTGTGTCTCAACGATTGACAGTGTACAGTGGAACAAGAGGACTTTTAAACTTGGTAAACACATATTGCTATGAACATTTTCCATTCACTAGAATGAAAAATTATTCAGCCTTTAAAAAGTAACGATTCAAGTAAACGCAATGTCTTTAAGCAACGAAAATCAAATGTGGAAACAAAGCACACTTAAAATTTATGAGGAATATTCAGTTTAAATAGATCCAGACGCAACTCTGTTTTTACGTATTTAAATGTTAACTGGTGCTTAAATAATGTGTGGCGAACATCTGTTACATTAAAGTAAATGGTTTAACCCGGGAGTATCGTTACATATTTGTAAATGTAGATCGTCCAGGTTGGTATAGTCCTGAGAAGGACTGTTTTTGTTGTTGTTGACTAAGGTGCCGTTAATTGCTGTGATCTGTTCAAGAGGTTTGTTCCAAGTTGGTATACCAACTTTCTAATATAAGCCGTTGTCTGTAGTCAGTACTTTAAGTAATGCATAAAGGACATAAAGGACAAAATGCATAACGAACATAAAGGACAAAGAACAACCCAACGAACGACAAGGTGCAGATTACAAAATAAATTGCTCCGACTGCCACGCCTCCTATATCGGGAAAACTAGCAGGAACTTAAACATAAGACTTACTGAACACAAACGAGCTACTAAGAAACAAGAAAAAACTAATCACATTGCCGAACATCTCTGACTCACAAAGCACAACATTGACTGGGACTCGGCAAAATGCATTACTTACAGCACTGACTATAAACAACGGTTTACATTAGAAAGTAGGTATACCAACTTGGAACAAACCCCCCTGAACAGATCACAGCAATTACCGTCATTTTATAAACGACTTATTCACAATACAAACAAACGAACAACTAAAAGCATTACACTTCACACTAATTCGCAATGACCATACACAATTGACACCCACACACTTCCTGTACACACAATACAATGACGTGAGAACCAGATAACAAATACGGCTAATTGAAGCTTATTCCCCATTTGACTCTGAAGATGACTACCGCTAAGGATGTCGAAACGTCAGTCAACAACAACAAAAACAGTCCTTCTCAGGACTATACCAACCTGGACGATCTACATTTACAAACATGTAATCTGTTACATTACAAATATTGCTAATAACGTTAATAAAGTCATTCTCGAATTGGAGTCATTAATTCTGCTATTTTCTTTGTACGCAAAAATGAATACACTCTTATTGGCGTAAAGATGGATGTTTTTTAAAATGAACGGTATCTTCACAAAAATGCCTCATGAATCATTATTGGATTCATTGAATGGTTACTTTATCGTAAGTTTGAAAGTTGGCATGCATGTTGCAACCTGAAATATTACGACGTTTGTACAAGTACGTTTTGCACTCCGGCACTTGTTAGTCTTTGTAGTAAATAATACCTCATAACTACACTTCAACTTATTTTAATTTATATAGTTTAAAAGAAACGAAAACGTAAGAGATTCTATTTTCTCACTGTTCTACGTCACAAGGAAGTCATTTGAGATAGAGCGCGCGATATCAAGATCAGTTCGAGCGTAGATTTCACAGCGATCTGTAACAAAAAGTTCCTTTTCACACTATATTACAAATTTTTTGAATTATGGCTTCTACAAAAGAAGAGTATACGACAAGAGATGAGGTCAGAGATGAAGCAGCACTCCTGGGTTTTACTGAAAATAATGAACGAGATGACATGATGGAAGAAAGCGAAGAAGTGCAAGTCACATCAAAGAATTTGAATGTGGCAACGGCCTTTTGTAGGATGAATGAAGCAATGACTGCAATGAGTGAATCACTCAGGTTAATGCAGCAAACGTCAGTATCCTCTACAGTAGAATCTACTCGTGAGAGGAAAACAAGTGCTTTAATCCCTGAACCAGAACATGACACAGATTGTGAAGTTTTGTTGCCACAAAACAAAGAACCTTCGACCAAGCGTAATTCTAAAGTAGAACAACTGGCAGTGGATCCGTTTCTAGAAGAGATTTCGCAGACTCTAGACGAAAATGAGAAAACTTCACTAATCGCCAACGAGAAGCTCGCCTCAATTATCAACCAGCATTGGCTGAATAGGCTGAGCAAAGAGCAATTGAAGGAAAAACAGGCTAAATATTTTAGGCTGAAGAACTGCAATCGCCTTATTGTACCCTAGGTAAACCCCAAAATTTGGGGAACATTAGACCGCACATCTAGAGGGCGTGATTTACAATTGAGTGCCATTCAATCAGCCCTGACAAATGTCGGTCATATAGCAGCGAAAAGCACCAATAAACAGTTGATTGCACGCAATAACAGCAGCGAACTGAATATTGATAATCTTGTTTGTATGAACGTTGATATCATAGCGATCCTGGGACATGTAAGTTTTGAATTGTCTCAAGGACAACGTGACGCTATACGTCCCAATTTCCATCGAGAATTTTGTACTTTATGCGCATCGCATGTTCCCATTACGAAATATTTGTTTGGAGATGGATTGCAAACCCAAATTAAACACATTCGCACAACCAAAAAGTTTGGCAACGCGGCAAAAAGCTCTTCTAATGCCACTTGGCAGAAACATTCCAACAAGGGAAACGATAATTGCGCCATTTTTTAACCCGTCATCATGGAAATAACCCATACCGGTCGAAGAGGAACCAATTCGGAAAGAAACGATCGTACACAATGAACGATATGCGAATATTTGTGACGACAGAACGAGCTGAGAAGATAAAACGCATGTGCCATGAGCTGCTATAAGCTTCTAACCCAAAAATAAAGGATGTTTCTCGGGATTTGGGCACTCTAACTTCGAGCCTCCGGGGCCTAATGTACAGTCAGTTGCATTATCACTAGCGGGAAATGAATAAAAGCGATGCCCTTAAGTTAAACCGGGGTAATTTTGACAAGACATTGACCCTTTCTTCCGAGGTCATACATGATTCACGATGGTTACAGTCATCAATATGCACGACTTACAGGCAATTTACTCACAATGAGCCTAGTATATGCCTATTTATAGGGGAACTCTTCTCTGATAGAGGCATTTCACCAGAGGCTTCTTAAATCATCCAGCAGTCTTGGCACATTGGTACCAAGAAGCAATATTCTACATACCTTCACCGTTAGCGATACTATTGCAACGCAAACAATATCGATCCTGTCGCGTCCTCTGTAGAAGAGGGCATTAATTTTCTTACAAAATTATACCAGGAAGCTTTATCCTGCGGCGGTATTAATATTGCAATGAGCGCCTTATGTAATAATGCTACCAAGTGGGACACATAGATAGATATGTCATGGTCTGGGACGTTTCAGTGATATTCAAACATCTTCGAAATCCTCAACCTCAAAAGATCTTAATTCGAAATGATTAACACTAAAAACAGTAATGCTTTTTGTTTTATTATCTGGTCAGCGATGTCAAAAACTTCATGCATTGGATATTTTTCATAAGAAGAAAGAAGACCAAATAGATTTTCATGTGCACCAAATGCTCAAAACATCTAAACCTAGTAAGCATGCTGCTCCTTTAGCATTTCGGGCTTATCCACCAAATATTAGGTTATTTGTATTCAATTACTTGTCCCATTATCTAAATGCCACTGCAGCCATACGAAATAATGCAAGACAACTCCTATTTAGCTATCAAAAACCATATCATTCGGTCACTTAAGTGATCATTTCCCGATGGTTAAAATACGTGTTAAAGGATGCTGGTATAAATACTGACGTTTACAGTGCACACAGTACTAGAACTGCATCATCCTCTGCGGCAAACGCATTGAATATTTCTATGGACACTATTATGAATGCAGCTACATGGCGTAATGAACAAACTTCTCAAACATTTATAATAAACCAATTGAGGCAAAGAACTTTGGCAATGATCTATTTTCTGCCATTTGTGAGTCAGAAAATGTGAAATTTCAATTTTATAATTTTGTTATTAGTTATTGCACATGTCCACATTGCTGTAGAATCTCATATGACTACCTAGTGACGTAGAACAGTGACGAAATAGAATTAGAAAATTAAACGAGACTTACCTGAAGTCGAAGTTTGATTAAAATTCTATGAGTTACTGTTCAGGGACTAGGAAGTCACACACCGAACTACTAACTTATTTCTTTTGAAATGATGTTAAATAATACTTGCTTTCCATTAAGTTTAAGGACGTTTGCAAATTTTTTAAAAACTGAACTTGATATCGCGCGCTCTATCTCAAATGACTTCTTAGTTCCTGAACAGTAACTCATAAAATCTTAATCAAACTTCGACTTCAGCTAAGTCTCTAAGTCTCGTTCAATTTTCTAATTCTAGGAATTTTGGACTTTAGTTAACAAAACCATATTTACAATCCTATAACCTACATTGAAACGTTCAAATTTACCAATGAACAAGCATTTACGTACTTGTTAGGAATGAAACTATAAGCTCTTACAATATATCTTATATATCTTTCCTGTTTTCTTACAACCTTTCGCCATCTTCAAAAATCTTCTCCTCTGCGTATGAGATGACTAATGTTTCAAAATCACTTTTTTTTCAATACAACTTCATAGTACACTGTTGTCAAGTTACTAATCAGAAAAACGGTGGACTTAACGCATGCGCAAAGAATTATGCCAAGCATTACACAGTCAATGAGTGGGGCTTCGAAATCACTTTATACATATTCAAAGCCTCAGTTTCTCTCAACTGATTCTATGATTTGAAATACCTAGGAGAATATCTTGCCATAGATGGAGAAATGACTTTGCTGATGATTAAATAGAGTGTGATTTTTATGTCGCTCTCAATATGTGTGTATGTGAGTGAGCTTTTAGAATACGGGCATGGACTTCTTCAAGAATTTTTATTGCCGAAATAAATATAAATCTCAGAGCATCGACTACTTTTCCGTAAAGCAACTTCGTGAATATATCAGGAAATACATCACATTTTGGTCCGAAAGAAAAGGAACAACGGAAAATACAAAGCAATTAAGCTCCTTCATAAGGAAGGAATTGTCTACGTTGAGTTTTAAATCGTACGCACTCACCTACCATGAAGTAGTTTATTTAAAATATATATAATTCACATGTCGTCTCATAGATGGCTTAGACGCAAATAAGACATTGAAAAGGCTTAGTGTAAAAGCTCAAATAAAATATTTTATTTTTGAAATACATAAAATTCAGTCAAAATTTATCTATATTCATTTAATGGTGGATTCAAATTTATATTCGAAGACTAATAAATACAACGCTTAATTTCGCCTTATTTTATTATAACTATAAATTCATGTTATAAATAATTTATATTGATTTTTAAAACGTTGAATCGTCCGACTACCGGTCTGCTTTCAAACTTAAAATCGTCGAATCATGTTTCCCTTTAATCATAACTCACTTCTTTAAAAGAACGCACGACAAATAGTTGTTAAATGTTTATTGAGTACTATTGGTTTTGTAAGAATTTTAACGCTTGAGAATTAAAGCAAGCCAAGAATATATTCAAAGTACGAAATCATTAATATTACAGATAAAATAATTGATCATCTATGACGTATAGTAATTACATCTTTATATATTTTTTGTGTGTCATACCTTGAACTGATAATGACTTATAACTTTCTTGAATTCATCTCATAAAAACATCATACGCATCCTTTAATTCCGTGTATAATAAATGTTTTAATGCAAAGGAATTTGAACCATCATAGGAATATATTGTTATGTAAAGCAAGAGTATTACACCATATGATTTTTATTGTTGTTAATCAAAACAATTTTTAAATAATATAGGGAGAATTGATTGCACAAAACATTAGATGTATATTTGAATTATAACTTTGCGATGCTTTTATCGTAGTGCATATGCTTGCTTTAATACTTTGATCATTTCTCTAGTACTTATAATTAAATGTTATTTATAAATTAATTTGCACAGCAAGAGTGTAAATGCTGATATATTTTAGCATAATAATGAAATGCCGGCTGAAAATTGCAACACACAAACTTGTTTAATTATTCAAGAAATTTGAAAAAAACATAAACAAAACAAATGTATTATGTCTTCGTTTTATTATATATGAACATAAAAATAGCAAGGAAAACACTCACTGACGGTTTTAATTAAACAACCTAAAATCCAAATGTTCCTCTAATAGTGGCAAACATTGGATGTACTGACTATGTATGAGCAATATGCAATTTTGCTAAAAGGTCAGAACGCTACCTGCCCCAGCGACATTTCATATTATTTAGCTTCCCTAATACGAAGTATAGTCTACAACCACAATGCAAACGAGAGTCTTCACGTCCTCCATTATATTTTGACCTGCTGCATCCAAGCCATTTTCCTCATCCAGGTAATTCAATAGTGGTCATTATTAGAAGGAAACCTAGAAGCTTTTTTGAATGCGTGAGCATATTTTATAGAACTGCACAGAACTTTTTATTCTGGCTTTTATTGTGACTGATTATTATATATATATATAAGTAGTTTAACTATATTGCATGAGAACAACTTACAGGGTACAACTAATTGAGGACAATTTACGAGGCACAACAAATTGAAGATAACTTATACGGCGGTGCACGTTAACAAAACAACACATTACAAGTCTTGGAGACAACGACTAAGCCTTTTTGGCTTCTGTACCTCTAATCTGTTTAGAAAAACTATTGTGAATCATTATTGGAATCACGTACTCTAGACTTGGGGTAGTGTTCAGACAGAGCAGATAAGTTAAACTTGTTAGCCTACCATTTGATAGGATTGAGACTCTTATTGTTGTAATACGCGATCGATGAGAAATAAATTAGTTCAGTGATTATAACTGGTGTCACACTATTTTTATAACATGTGGAAATACAACGAAAATTTGTATTGGTTATTTCAGTCATGATAATTTGAAACCTGTGCGTGTTTCAAAATGATACTATTATTTAAAAAAATTAAAAAACCTACATAAATTATCCTAAATATGCGTTCTAAAATGTTAAAATATTTCACATATGCACAACATTTCTTTTGATTATAATGAAATTCCTGATTGAACCGTCAAAGCTCTACGTATCCAAGCTTTGTAATTTAGATATCCATTTCTTGGCTTCTTCCTCCGTCGCAGCATACAAATTATACAATAGTTTCTCTGTACGAAGCTATAGAAGCATATAAGGCAGTAAAAGTAGTCTTTAAGAAGAATAAGTATTTTACATGCATGATGGTTTCCATCGGTTATATTTCAAAGATTTAAAAACAGGGTTCAATGTTATCTGCGCAAAATATTAAATTGCTTTTTCAATGTCAAGCTAAATCAACTAAAGTGGTAAAGAAAGGATCATCTTTATGCTTCAGGAAAAATTTAAAAGTTCATAAAAGATCTTATTACCATTATTTAATGCTAGCCACGCTTACATCGTTCACAGAAAATAACAAGCACGATTAACCAAATGGTTTTTCATACAAAAATTTAAACCAATCAAAATTCGTGATGATTTAGAGCACCTTAACGCTTCAAACAAACAACACAGCGATGAGAGATACACAAATATATGTACTTACGTCGAAAAAAACTTGCTTCTCGTTTGCTAAAAATATCAATGAAATTCACAATTTTTATAAAAAAAAAATACCACAACACAATAACAGCACTTTTACAATCATGTAATCATGTTTACAGTTTTATCGTACAATTAAATACATAATTGTAACTTGTTCCATACTTAAATATAATATTAATTTTTATATACAGAACTAAATATCCTTTCTACAGATACCAAAAAAGCTCAAAACTTTGCAATTCATTCAAGCTGGTGCACAAAGACAAATGCTTTTAAGGTAATATCGCAGGAGAAGTTTTAATTTGGAACAACACAGCACCCAGGGCGGATCTAGGATTTTGGATACCATAGGCAAAACATTATGACGTCATTCAGTGCAAAACCTATGACGTCATACTTTGCAAAACATACTACACTATTTATGCTTTCGATAAATTGTTTAAATCAAACAGTCTAATCATTCAGCTATGCAGAATCTTGTAGATCTCAATCGTATAAATACATAAAAACATTGTATATTTATACTTACATATCACAAGGTCGTTGATTTTCACTATTCAGAATATTGAATGCACACAAGACTGTTTCGCCCCATATCAGGGCTCATCAGCATGCCTAGGAACACTTTAACGCAAAACAAAAAATCGTGATCCGGCATGGACAGCCCTGTGAGAGCCGAATTAAGCAGACTGGTTATGGCGCCAGAAGTTCGCCTACACACCTTTGAAAAGGAGTTTGGTTAGAAATGGGTGACTATATGGGATATTTCATGGATGTGATATTGCTCAATTTTTCACACCATCCCAGTCAATTCCAACCCTTTATCCCCACCTAAAATGAGCACTCTGGTTTTGAAGGCGCCAGAAACTCGCCTTTCACACCTTTAGCAAATAGCAAAAGGAGTTTGGTTAGAAATGGGTGACTATGTGGGACATTTCATGGATGTAAGATTGCTCAGTTTCTTACACCATCCCAGTCAATTCCAACCCTTTACCCCCCACCTAAAATGTGCACTCTCATTTGCCAACAAATGAGCAGAATGTAAATGTAATGTAATAGTCAAAAAGAGCTTTGTATAAAGAGTCTTTGTGAAGACTAAAATTTGGTGTAAGGAAAAATTATTCTATTTATGCTTAACAATTTTGTGAAAGTAAATTTATGTCGACAACGGCCGAGTACCATACACGTACTCAGCAGTTTTAAGATTGGAATGTATAGGGAAAAAACCTTTATCGGGCGAGCTATTAGTTTGATGCAAATTCTATTGACGTTACTATTGTGTACAACGCACAATAAATGGTTAACATATGGACATTTCAACAAAATAAAAAACTAGGATATGAATAAATTCATGCAAATTTTAGCCTTGTATTTCCAACAGCAAAAGTATTAATAACCTCACCAATATCTGGTACAATTTCCTGATGAATTTGCATCAAGGCCAAACCATTTAAGCGTTCCCCAACCATGGTACTTCGCTGATAGTTTTTAAGTGTCCTAAGGGAAGAAATAGATCGTTCACATTCACAAGAGGTAATGGGGAGCGTTCCTAAAATACGTAGTAAAATTTTAATGTTTTCAAATCCGGCGAAATGAACAGATTTTAAAGTCTGGGCAATGTTATCAGGAAGGAGGCCGCAGTGGGTCTCCCAATAAGTGTACCACAACCTAAGTTCAGCATCTAAGGCCAAAGGATTTGGCAAATCATCATAATAAAAGTTAGCCACAGTTTTGAATGGCTCTTTCCAATCCACCCCATCTCTTGTCATGGACATCATTTTCGTCGGTACAATGCTAAGGCCTTTATAGACATTCACACTCTCAAGGTCGAATCGTGATTCTAAAGAAGATTGCAAATGATCTAGTAGAGGAAGAGTAATTGCACGTTTATAATACTCAGAAATGGTTGTGTGGGGAATATTTTCCCTGGTCGTTTGTTTGCGCACTGTTCTTGGTTTCCATTCTTCAATGCCAACTTTTGCTGCCAGTTCAAGCGCTTCGTCATACCAGGTGTCATGATAAAAATCAGAGGAATTCCTCATGTTCACCACCTCAGTTTTCAAAGTTGAAATTAAATGAATACCATCCATTATATCGATACTCTTACCCTGTAATAACTGTGTTACTGGAAGAGTTGAATCAAGAATATTTCTCGTGATAACTAAAGCAACGACGAAATCAAACCTGTCAATAAGTTGAAACAAAGATGAGGCATCAGACTGAAGCGACGGTTTGAACTCACCATCTAGATTTTCAGACATATCGTTAAGGGTGGTGTATACAGGTACAAAAGCTCTTGGAATGTATCTAAACCTTCGATACGTTCTACCCATCTAGTTTTGCAAACGTCTGTTAATCTAGTCTTTTCGAGTTTGTTTCTGAATTACGTATATGTTTTTCAAAGGGAATATTGCGAGTTTGGAAAATTTTAATAAAATTAGTGGCATTGTTAACATGTTTCAACATATCATTGACAACACGTATACTCAAAGAATCGCAAATGGATAAGTTTAACCTATGACTATAGCAGTGTGTATAAAGAGCCTTTGGGTTAAGCTTTAAAATTTGAGCTGCTAGACCATTAGTGCAACCAGCAACTGAACCAGCCCCATCATAACCTTGCCCCCTACAATCATCTATTGATAAAGTCAGTTCATTTAGAGCCTCTAAAAGTAGCTTGGCAAGTTGAGCACCACTTAGTCCCCACTTACAAAAAAGAAATGAAATGAATTCTTCCCTGATATTCATATCGGTATCAACAAAGCGCAAAACAAGAGACATTTGTTCTTTATGTGAAGAATCAGATGCTTCATCAGCAATAACAGAAAAAAACTTACTTTTTTTGATATCAGAAATAATCTGATTACTGATTACCTGGCCACAACATTTAATGATTTTATTTTGACTTGTTTTAGAAATATAACTTCTATTCTTACCACAATTTTTAAATGATTTTCTAAAACTTTATCCCCTCTCCTAACTCCATAATTGAGTGTTTCAATGAAATTACCAACCTCCAGATGAATAACAACCAACAGTAGGGTGATACTTGGAATCATCACGATGCCCACGAAGAGGTAAACCTAGACGTCCACAAAAAATGACAGAATCAAT